AGACTTAACTTGACTTCTGTGGTTTCTAGGAGGTACCTGACTTCCCTAGCTCCCCACTGACTGTGAGGGTGCTCCATCCAGTGGTCTATGCCTGCACTGCAGTTCTGCTCCTTTGCCTCTTTACTATCATCATTACACACATACTGCACCACAGGTACTGCAGTGTATTTGCAATTTCTCGCTACTATTTATTTATTTTTTGCTTCATTATCTAATTAGCTTACTCTTCTCCCATAGTTCAATATGCATATCAAGAAAAAGTTGGCACACATTGCTGAATACCTGCTTCCACATTGCAATGACAACAGCGATCTACGCAGGCGGCATAAGCTTAACAAGCTATCCAGTCGTTTGCCAAGCAGTAAGTTTTGAATTTCAAGTACTGCATTTTTTTTAGAGGCTTTTAAGCTTGATGTCTGATCTGACAACATTACGTGACAGGTTGGCATTGCCTTGCATTACTCCTCGCTGTCAACCCTGCTGTGGATTGGAGTCAGCGCCAGGGTGATTTACAAAGAGGCTGTGTGGAGAATGCCCCGGCAACCAGATGGAGAATCTCCTGTTCCGCCTACGCAGCGACCTATGCTCAGGTCAGTGAACAAGGTTCAACTCACCTTCGCCCACTTCCTTTACTGCGAGATTATTGTGTGTTTTCAATAAGGTTTATATTTTAGGCAGATGCTGTAATTCTTGTGTGTGACCACCCAAAGTGTGCACGATCAAAGGTGGTTATTGTGCCCAGTGGCTAAGGGGAGGGGGAGGGGGGAAAGGGGCATGAGACCACCATAAGAGAATGAGTGGGAGTTGTCATGAATCTGAGCATATCTATCATATCCAGTATTCCTGATTTTCTTCTCTTCCCGCTTTCCTGTTCCTGTGATCTAGAGGTTGTGCTCATACTACACTGTGCCTCTGACCTCCAGCCACCATTTGTTGCCTATTCAGCCACATTAGATGAGAACATAGATTCTGGTGTCTGTGCTGACCCATGTAACACTGTGCCTACTAAGACAGCCAAAGATCATAAAGCCCTGCACATGACAGAGAGCCAGGAATACATTAAAACACCAAAAGGAAAAGAAAAAAGATCATGGCAGCCAAAGGTCAAACATGCACAAGAATCGCTTTTTATCTCATGAGTTTGATATGTGTCTCTCTGTTATTCAAGGTTCTATTTGATAGCTGATGGTGTTCCTCTCATCATTTGTGGGATCACAGCAGCTGTCAATGTTAACGACTATGGAGACAACAGCCCTTAGTAAGTGCCTCTCTTTATATCCTTGAGCCATTTGGCCCTTGACTTTGTGTTGTTTGGATTGCTTCTGAAGCGAATGACACACAAAGATGTCCTTGTTTTGTGCTGACTGTCCTGCAATCTTTTCTGCCTCTTGCAGCTGCTGGCTGGTCCGGCGCTCCAGCCTGGGGTCTTTCTTTGTCCCCGCTGGCCTGGTGGTGTTGGTGACCTGGATCTATTTCCTGTGCACTGTTTTTCGCTTGAGGCGCCGTGGGGCCAAAGAATGCACAGGAACCACTCTGTCTTCTCCTGTGACCGAGAGCCATCCTGCGCTCGCAGGAAGTACCAGCCTGCTCTCCACAGACTCAGTGACTGGACCTGTACACCCTGTTATGTCTCCAGAGGATCAGTATTCGCTCAAGACACAGTTTTCTGTGCTGGTGGCCACCCACTTCCTGTTTGTGGCTCTGTGGTGTTGTGCAGCCATGGCAGTGTGGCTTACAGGTCACACTAGCTTGTTGTTTAGCTGTCTCTATGGGATAGTCGCAACAGTTTTGGGGGGTTTTCTGGTGGTGCACCACTGCTTCCGGCGACAAGATGTCCAGACCTCTTGGCTGGCTTGTTGCCCAGGCTATCAACGCCCTCATCCCATGTCTACCTACACCCATACCTGCACTACTGGGAGTGGGGTCCAGACCTCTGAACAGGGATCCCAGCTTTTTATCAACTGCCATCCACCTGGTGACTCTCATAATTCCTCATCAGCTAGGTCGTCATCCACACCAAGTGGGATCAGCAGCGTGGGCCCAGGGCCTTGCAAGCTCACCAACCTGCTGCAGGCGACGCAAGACAATTCAAACGGCACTTCACGTGCTCCTACGGGCAACAACACTAGCACCAGTACTGACAACATCACCAAGCCTACAAACAATGTTCTGCCCACCATTAACTCTGCAGCCCCAGGACAGCCCCAGAGAAGGAAAGCGAGCAGCAGAACTAAACAAGGCAGTAGTCAATACTATCATCGGGGCGAGGGCAGAGGTCACTATCGTCTCAAAGCTCTAAGGGCTGCTGGAGGTGGGGGCAGTCTTGGAGCTTTAGGGCCCATAGGTTTAGACCACCTCAGTTCATCGCATGCTGTTTACAAACAAGCCACAAGTGAGAATGGCAGCATTCACCACAGTCTGTCGGAGAACCAGGCCAGCGTGCTGACAAACGGGAAGCGGGTGGGAGAATCAGTAGCTACGAGCCCCTCGGAGGGAAGTGATGGAGGCAGCAGCGGGAGTCGCAAACCATTCCCCCTTCTGCCATCGATGGCCACCCGAGTGGCCATGCAAAACGCTCAGAGGCGATGTGCCAGCAGAGACAATTTAAAAGTCGCAGCTTCTGCGGAAACAAAGCGCTGCTCCTACCCTCTGAACGGCGACACCGCCACTGTGCCGGGGGCCGCTAGCCAAAATGGCAACCTGAAAAACTCTGTGCTGGAACTAGAGCAGGACATGAGTGGCACAGACCAATCACAGAGCTCTGTTGGAATGAAGAGTGGTTTGTGGAAAAGTGAAACCACGGTGTAAAATATGCTTACATGTGAACAACTATGCATGTCCTTAATGAACTCTTGAATGACTGGGTTATGTTTCAACGGTCTCTTAATAATTATCTAATTTAAGATATAATATCATGAAGGCATCCAGGACCCTAAACTGGTACTTTTGCCTCAGTAGCGTTGAGAGAGTTTGCTGTGAAATGATTTAAAAAATAAAAAAATACTAAGGCAGGTGTTTTTATTGTCATTTTCAAAAAGAAGATACACATTTATCTTATAAAAATGTACAAGTCATTTCTAAAATTGGCATATGATGTTGATTTTAGATGTCTAATGAAAGCTTTAATGTTTTAATTGTGATTTTTCTATGCATATCAACTATAGCATGAAATGGTTTACGAGATGGGCCATTTCCAAAGTCAAGCTATATGCATTTAATCCGTGGAAAAACTTTCACCCTTATGTGCGCTTCGAATAACTGGTTGTGTTACTCATGTATGCACTTCTATGTTGTCTGCAAGTTTATGCTTCAGTGTGTGTGTGTGTGTGTGTGTGTTTGTGTGTGTGCGCGCTCACACAACAGAAGAGGATTTGCGTGAGTGTGGCTGTACAGAATCTCAGAGTGAAATAAAAAGGCTATGCGAAACTTTTAAATATAAAAAGATGTTTCCTTTTCATTTCTATGTACTCCTATCAGCACTGCTGGAGCTTCTCTTGTGTGATAAATTCACAATATACCCACTCAGACCTTGTCTGATCTAATACCTGAATGACTGCCCCCTCCTGGATAGCAGAGGAACCTGGATTGAGATTTCCTTTAAGCTGTATTTAGCAGGTTTTTGATTGTGGTGGTCGAGCTGTTTGTAATTTAGGGGCCACCGTAGTATTGCCTTGAGTTGACTCACAAATCCAAAGCCATACTTCTGTTTTATGAGCTTTTTAATGCACTTGCAATTCAGGAATTTACATTAACAGGAAATAGTATTTCTGCTACGCACCTCATTGCCACGTTTCTCCATTGTTCTTTGGGCAACACACCCTGTGTTGTTACACTTGTTGCTGTGTGTATGCTCTTTCTTTGTCATATTTTATTATATAGGCGTGGTATGATTTTGTTGATTAGAAAGATAGACTTGTCTGGTTCATTTAATATCATGGGCGATAGGTATACATATAATCTTAATGTTGCCTCTCTATCAGTAACTATGCTTTTGTTAACAATTTCCAATTTGCAAGTTGCATGCAAGACAAAGTCTTTATTTAAAAGGAAAAATAATCAGGGCACTAAAATATTATGTTTAATTTCTGATGTATTTTTCTTTGTGCCAAAGAAAAACCTTTATGTTGCTGAAGAATGGAGCCACAGCTGCTTGTTGCTTGATTTCAATAATTCACATCTTTAATTATTTATAACTGAATGTTGCATTTTGTAAATAACCCAATCGTCTTCATTTACTGAAATATCCAGTGGAGTGTACTCTATTTTGCAATTACACAAGCCTACAAAAACCCAGTATTATTGTGGTCATATGAAATATTGTGTTCTTAATATGATGTTCATTTCATTAAAGGGACATTGCCTGAAAATAATTTGCAATGGCTTAAACTTTGTTGAAAAGGGCCTGGTAGATAAATGAATTCATAGTTACTGTATGATAGGATTTTAGATGCCCTTAGATCTATGTTGCTGTGACGTAATTTCATAAGTCTTACCTGTAACACACTGTTCCCTGTGCTCCCGCAGGCAAAGAACAATGTAAAATATAAAGTAAGACAAAAGTACATTACATTACTGGTAGTTTTTAAATTAATGACGTGAAAACACAATATTTTTTGTAATTGTTTTTTGCTTAATAATAATAGTAATTTAATTTAATTATTAAAAACATTCGTTTTAGACTTAACAAATTAAAAAAAAACCTTTTTCAAAATGTGTTATAAAAATATTTTTACATTTTTAAAAATGGCCATTTTCTGTCCCTTTCAAGCACGCAATTACCAGCACTGGACTCAGTTCGGCGGTAACTGCTGATCTCTTTCAGTCTTGCATTGCGTTTCCCAGGCTAAACTGATTCCTGGTCAGTGCTTTTCAGCCCCGGTTAACGGTCTGTGAGTTATTAAAGCCCTCCTCCTCTGCGGTCCAATCGCTAACTGACTTTTTATAGACGACTGAAGAATTGGCCAATCGGAGAGCGATATGTAGAGTATGGGTGGGAACTCCTTACATCAGGGAAGTAAACTATTCAACTTGGCGGAAAGAACTGTGTTTATAAAAGCCTCTTGAAGGATTTAGTTACGCTACAGTGCCCTGGTTGGGTTACCTAGGCTAATATTACCATGCAAATGGTAAAGTAAGTGTGAACTGAACTCAAATGTTATCAGAGGCTGAGGTACAGCCTTTCAAAGAGGAGGGAGAAGTATTACGACATCATACTGAGCTTCCCGAACTGAAGTCAAGCTAGGTAACCCACACCTAGAACCGCAGAGGACGCCGAAGGTGAACAACAGAGTTCAAGAAAAGGTTAACCAGTCTTCCGTTTTATTGAGGTATTTTTCGAGACAGTTCTGAATAACTTTTAGTAAGGCTTGACGGACTTTAGCGATGTCTCTGGCCGACCAGAGCCAGCAGTCGTATCCTACGAGTGTCCAGGTAACGGTGCACCAGGCTCGGAACCTGCGTACCAAGGGAAAGAATGGCACCAACGACTCCTACGCCATCATCCAGGTGGCCAAAGACAAGTTTTCTACCGCCGTGGCTGAGAAGTCTGTCGATCCGGTGTGGAAAGAAGAGGCTTCGTTCGACCTGCCGCTCTTCCACCCGGGAAACGCTGAGCGCTGTATGCTGTATATCATAGTAATGCACCGTGCCCAAGTGGGGCTGGACAAGTTCTTGGGCCAAGCTGTGATAAACCTGCTGCAGCTTTATGACAACAAGGCTCGCAAAAAGACAGAGTAAGTGTCAGCTAAGCAGTTTTGGGAGGGGTTTGGGGTCTCACAGATTCCCCCAATTAGTTCTGACTAAGTATGTTTAAGTCTTCTTTTACGTTTATAATGAGTTTGGGTTTTAGTGCAGCAGCAGCCTTAGAGCACTGCACAATGAAAAACGACTATCCAAATAACTTTCGTTTCAGAGCTTCATATAGAAGAGAAGAGAATAGGGCCCTTTATTGTCATTGTACATGTACAATGAAATTCTAGGTGCTCCACACAAACCGTGCCGGAATAAACTATAAATAGTCGACAGCAGGAATAAATGGGAAACAGGAGAAATGTATATACAAAACAAGAGAGAAGTATACAAAAATAAGAGCAAGGCACACAGTGGAGAGCAAACTAGTTGCAAATGTAATGTAGTCTAGACCATAAGGCTAGGTTAAATGCATTGTTTCTAGGAAGAGGTAAGTAAGCTGATATCGAGTTTGTTTCCACACCGTTCTCTAGCTGGTATCTATATTCTGCTAAAAAACAAACAAAAAAACGTTTCCCACTGAAGGGAACAGACTTTGAAGAAGCAGTAATCTTAATAAATGTTACAGCCAAAGTGCCACCAGTTTTACTTTAACTGGCTTATCATGTGTCACAGTGTAATTCCAGGGCTGTATATTAACTTTCAGAATCACTGGGTAGTTGGATTAGATTTTTACCTCTCAGCTGCAGACTTGAACTTTGCTTCAGCTATTCTAAGGAGGTATTAGCATACCTATTGAGCTTTATAAGTGCCTGTCTGATGATCTAGTTTACCAGCATGGTAACTTTGCCCAAAGTAAGTCGAACAATTTACCTACCATTTAGTAAAGCACCAGATTAGCTTTTTATTCAATTAAAAGGAATTCCAGAAGAATTTATGTCAATGTTTGTTATAAAGCGGCAGCACGGCTTATAGTCACTGAGAATTACATTATGTGAAATACTCTGGAGTATCTTTTGACTTTGTATGTGTCCACTGTGAAACACAGCAGTGAATAATGTCATAGTCATTGAGTTTATTGGTTTACTGACTTTGCAATTGCAGGGCTTATCTAGACAAGTTGAGTTTCTAGACACCCACTTGAATAATTCAGTGTTCTGATGTCATATTTTTTTTTTTGGTTTGCTGTTTATGATAAACGTGAACTTGGGTGGAGCCTCTGTCCTCTTCCTCTTCCTTTTTTCGTTTGTGTTTTAAAACCATCCACTGACTTGGTCTGAGATCATTCTTTCCTTTGCTTGTCTGTCGTCATTGGTCCAACCCTGCATGCTTGTGGGTTCACTTTTACTTCACAAATTATTTTAAGACAATGACGATCACTAATGCTTGATGGTGGAGGCATGCCTTAAAATCACTTAGCTTTTGTTAATCCTAAGCATTCCTCAAGACTAGCTTAAAATATGTCTGCTCACACCCAGACGCATTACATGAATGGCGCTGACATGGGTGTAACGTGGGTGTAACATGAATCCAAACAGAGCTTTGCTTTAGAATTGTCAAATTGGGTTGGACACCCTCTTATGTAAAAGAAATGTTAAAAATACAGGTGGTTTATTTTAGGCTACACTGGTAAAACTTTCCCAGTAATTATGAAGTGACCTTTGGTAATGAATGAGTGAGGTAGCGCTTGCTACTTCTTAGTAAACACTCACCCCGGGGGCAGCCTAGATTATGGTGCTGGAATGACCTCATGCTCTTGGTTATTGTACCACCATATTTGAAATGTTATCTTTTGCTTGCTCAGGTTCTTTTTCCATGTTCATGCCAAAGTTCATTCCTTGCTATTTCCATTTCATAACTGAGCTCCTTCGTTCTCCTGCCTTGTCCTGCTCCTCCTGTTCTGTAAGATGCAGTATGCGTGCAGGGGTATTGGATGTTGCTGGTTTTCCCTTGAAGTATGTGGTGTTAGATTACTGCGCTGCTCCCCTGTTGTGCTGATACAGGGTGTGACACCGAAGGCTTTGTTTTCCAGTTGAAAGGGAACCTGACACTTTTCCTCTAATACAAAACAGTTTAGCGAGATGAAATTAGGTTTTAAGGCCAGACATCAGATAGATACACAGATAGATAGATATCAGTTTAACAATTTACTTGGACTTACTCATCTTTGCAGCTCCATTGGAGTGCATTTTTTTTCTATGAAAGCAAGTTTTACTATCTTAATATACCAGATTGTTTTAAATGTTGTTGTTTTTTTTTCAAAGATTCCTCTAAACTTAATTTTTCACAAGTATGATATTGAGCTATACTGCATTATGAATGACCTACAAGTAATGGTTGTTTTTGCACCGTATTGTCCTAAACCCAGTGTTTATTGTCTCAAAGGACAAAGCAGGAAATTCCAGCCATTTGAAGGCTTAAACTTGCGGGTGGTTGAAAGTTTTGCTGAAACACTCACTGAAATGATTAATTTAATTTATTGTCCAGTTTCCAGGTAATCCGTTTCGCCTCTAGATGTTATTTATGTAGGTTTTAAATTTTAAAAACGTCAAACAGTCCTTTAATTTGTCTCTGCAGAGGCAGTAAGGACAAGATCTTGGATAGATATACTTCAACATGGAGAGCATGACAGGGCGAACACTCAAGATAAACAAATCACAAACTCAAACAGAAAAATCATTGTATTTACACATGCCACCTCTCAGCTTGGGGTCCTGGATACACTAGAGTAATCTACAACATATTTGTGGTGTTACCGCTTTTATTTTTGTCTTCTACCTTCCCGGTGCCTGAGACATTAAAAAGTGGTATCGACTGTTCTGTGTTTTGTTGCCTGGAGCTGAAGTCTCTCGTCTCTTATAAAGACTCAGTGGGCAGTGAGGAGGTGGTGGACGCTGTGCCCAGCTGAAGGGGTACTCTGTTTTTAGAGTTCTTGATAACTGTGCTTGTTGGTGTGATTGCATTCAAAACTGTTGCAAACAAAAAGAGACAAATAACAAGAGTCTAACCTTTTCAGGAGCTCCCATCTACCACTGCTATGCAGAACCACAGCACACTTATTGGGCTAATATGAGTTGTTTAGAACATACATAAATGAACAAAGTGCTAAAATTAACATTTTAATCTAAAAATAAAATAAAAATATAAGTAAAAGCAATAAAACCTTGATAAAAACATAGTAAAACAGACACTAAAAAGTATGCTTGAGACGAAATTAAGATAAATGGTCTGGAGCTAGTCGCTGTAGTGCTCTGTATGCAGTCATGAGAATTTGAAAACAAAGTCTTCAATCAACTGGGAGCCAGTGTAAAGAGTGGTAATGTGAGCTTGCTTGCTAGAACATGTAAGGAGTCCTGCTGCGGTGTTTGTACATTATTTGGAGGCAATTTTTGTGGTACAGCTTGTCGCATTCGCTAAGTCCAGCATGAAAGTTGAGTGAAAATAGAGTGGTCTCATTTTTTAAAAACATTTTACACATTTCATTTTGCTTTACTGTGAAATGTAACAAAATGATTGTTTCACTAGTTATGACTTTACAGGACAGCTTTAATTTTCCATTTGTATATTTATTCATATTTAAACTAGAGAATATTGTCTATTTTTTTTTAAGTCTCTGTTCCAAGTTACAAATCCTGATCCATTTGTAATTTGTAAAGAAAAACCAAGTGGAACATTTCAGGCTTTTATCTTTAATGGTTTTTGCGATATTCAAGCAGAAGGCTCACAGTGATTTGAGATGAAATAACCCAGTGACTTTTCTACTTCTGTTTTAGTACCAGTAAGGATATTAATGAAAAAAAAAAAATCATTTATTATATACATACCCATCACTTCTTACTAACTATACAGGGAAGAAGAAGAGAGTATGCCCACAAAATATCAGATGTGCTGATCTGAACTGTATGACTAATATGCATAGTTCAGTATTTGTGTATTATTTGTATGTCGTGTGATCGTGGCAGTATTGAACAATTTTATCAGCCGTTATCAGTTTTCCTCGTATCATGCAGCCCTAATGTTCAACCATTTGCAGAGGCAGTTCCCAGAGTAGGACTCATGTGTTCAGACATATGAGTCACAGTATTTTGCAAACAAAGCGGACAGGAAAATTTCCCATCTATGTGAAATATGACGCCCAGTAACATCAGACAACTTTCCTAAAGATAATTTTTAACATGGCTGTATGTGGAGCAGTAACAGCCAATTGTAGCCTATCTGTATGAGATTGTTTTTATACTTCTTTGTTTTTTATTGGCTGAATCCTCCATACTGGCTGGTGTTGGTTCACAGGATAAGGATGTTTGTTAATCATTACACATGAAAGGGAAGCTATTGACAGAGGGAACCTGTCCAGCAAGACCAGTGAGCTCATGCGTCAGGGAGGAGGCTTTATATGCATGTGCAAACAATACAAAAGTTGGAACAGCCCGACAGCTTGTTAGTACTCGTGTTAATTCATATTGTTTTCGTAGTCCTCTTGGTGCACGCCCTGTTGTTATTGAAGACAAGAGGACAAAGCTGTTTCTTGACTGACTTGTGAAAATGTTATCTCCGTGCCCTTGTGCCTCGACTCGGCTAGCGATTGTTTGCTTTGGCATTCTTGGTTTAGAGTGGGAGATGAAGAATGTTTGAATTAGAGTCATCTTAAATTTAATTATAACACACACTTCACACACATAGGGAGGTGCCGTGAGGAATGCTGTTTCACTCCCATGGTTGTTTCCTAGCTGTTTCCCTACAGCAGACTATCTGCATATCTGCTCCATGACAAATAAATGTGCTGGCTGTGAACTTCCTTTAAATTGCAGTTTGGTGTCAGATTAGGACTACACAACGTTTTGGGCGGAAGTAGATAGCTTCAGAGGCCTCAGTTTAAGTCATGCAAGGACAGACGGAACTTTAATAAGATTCACAACATGTTGCACAAATGAAATCAAACTGTGACCTTTACCTCATGTGAAACGGT